CCTGCAGAGTCCTGCAGGGTCCTGCAGAGTCCTGCAGAGTCCTGTAGGGTCCTGCAGAGTCCTGCAGGGTCCTGCAGAGTCCTGCAGAGTCCTGTAGGGTCCTGCAGAGTCCTGCAGGGTCCTGCAGAGTCCTGCAGAGTCCTGTAGGGTCCTGCAGAGTCCTGCAGGGTCCTGCAGAGTCCTGCAGAGTCCTGTAGGGTCCTGCAGAGTCCTGCAGGGTCCTGCAGAGTCCTGCAGAGTCCTGTAGGGTCCTGCAGAGTCCAGCAGAGTCCAGCAGGACTCTGCTGAGTCCTGCAGACACACACGTGTGTGTGAGGTGACACCTGACTTCCTGTTTGTCCAGGGACAAGTCTGCAGCGGAGAAGCGCCGGCAGCTCATCCAGGAGTCCAAGTTCTTGGGGGGTGACATGGAGCACACTCACTTGGTGAAGGGTCTGGACTTCGCTCTGCTGCAGAAGGTCAGTTTCATGGTGGTCTCCTCGCTCAGCTGGAGACCCCAGACCCAGTAAGACCTGTGGACCTGTGTGTTCCAGGTGCGAGCTGAGATCACCAGTAAGGAGAAGGAAGAAGAGGACCTGATGGAGAAGGTCCAGAAGGAAACCAAGTAAGACCTGTTGATCAGGTTCTGCTCTCTGATTGGTCCTGCTGATCTGACCAATCAGAGAGCAGAACCTGATGCTTCTGTGTGACAGGAAGGACCTGGAGCCTGAGGAGAAGATCGAGTTCAAGACTCGTCTGGGTGAGTCCTCCTGGAGCCTGATCCTGACACAGGTCCACCAGGAGGTCCATCTGCTGGACTGTAACCTTCATGTCCTCCTCCTGGTCCTCAGGCAGGAACATCTTCAGGGTGGTCTTCAGGTCGGGGGTCCAGGAGAGGAACGAGCTCTTCCTGCCCGGCAGGATGGCCTACGTGGTGGACCTGGACGACGAGTTCACCGATACCGACATCCCCACGACCCTGATCCGCAGCAAGGCTGACTGTCCCAGCATGGAGGTGAGACACACCTTTTCCTGAGACACACCTGTCCCTGAGACACCTGTCCCTGTGAGATACCTGTCCCTGAGACACCTGTCTCTGTGAGACACCTGTCCCTGAGACACCTGTCCCTGTGAGATACCTGTCCCTGAGACACCTGTCCCTGTGAGACACCTGTCCCTGTGACACCTGTCCCTGTGAGACACCTGTCCCTGTGAGACACCTGTCTCTGTGAGACACCTGTCCCTGTGAGACACCTGTCCCTGTGAGACACCTGTCCCTGTGAGACACACCTGTCCCTGTGAGACACCTGTCTCTGTGAGACACCTGTCCCTGTGAGACACACCTGTCCCTGTGAGACACCTGTCCCTGTGAGACACCTGTCTCTGTGAGACACCTGTCTCTGTGAGACACCTGTCTCTGTGAGACACCTGTCCCTGAGAC